AATAACTGCATTATGGCTGACTTTGTTTGGTGGTGTTGTTCTGTACTGGTAACCAAACAAGCTAAACTTTTCTAAAAACTTTTTTTTTAAGTTTCTCTCTCTCTCTATCTAAATTCAGGTCACGGGGGAAAAAACTAAGTCAGTGTGATAAAAGTACTCATACAAATTACCCAAGATGCCGTAAAGGCCACTTTCTCCCAACAGATGGGAACCAATTAGCCATCTGACTCCCAGAAAACACTTGGGCAGCCGCGTGGAGCCGAGATGCAAACGAAGCAGAGAAAGTGGAAGCAAACCTGCCGGCATCTTGGTGGAGGTGAAATTAATGAAGGACACAGCATAGGTGCAAATTTGGAAAACGGAAAGAGACTAAAGAGGGACATGATGAATGGAGGGCAGGCAGAGCTGCACCGAAGGTCTCCGGTGACGGGACAGAAACCATGAGCAGAGGGCAAAAATATCTGTTGATGGAGAATGCTGTCTTAATCCTGCAGGTGGTGAATCATCCATCAGCTGCCATCAACATCAGGTCAATGTATTCAATTTAGAACAACATGAAATCATTGATCTAGTTAATGAACATCTTGTCATATTTACTTAACTGATGCACTGACTAGACCAGAGCCTGCTGCACAACTTCACAACTTTCATCTACAACACAACTTTGAGAGAGAAAACCTTGTTCCACAAAATTAGACAAAGTCTTCCCCATTCTTCAAAATACACAGCTCCTTATTGAATCCATATCCTTTAAATCATTATGCACATCTGATGGCACTGATCGGCGGGCAAGGTAGCATATGGGGAGACTCTTAGTCATGTTAAAATGTGTACAAAACACACCGGTTGGCCTGGCTTTTTGCATTTCTGCAGAAACCAAAACATCTCAAAGCTTGAAAATGTTATTTTTTGACCAGTCACTCAGCCTCAAGTGACATTAATCACGGTGCCATCATCAAAACAAGGACCAAGGTTTCCACAGTGAAAGCACGCAAGACAATCCAAACCCTTCAAGTTACCTGTTACAGTTTAACACAAAATCAACCTGCAACCTTTTCTGATGCCACACTCCCAGATCTCAAACATCTAACCCTGCTCTAAAAGAGAAGACAGGCTGGAATAAGATGCCAGGACAAATTAGGCTCTAAAGAACCATTTCAGCGGTGTGCACGATCCTCTGCAAACTCAAAGGTAATGTTTTCCTTCATTCCTTGTGACTGCTCACACAAAGCATCAGGCAGCTGTTAGATAAAGCCAAGTCAACATTGGTACGTGTAGGAGATTTAAGGTGACACATTTCCCCAGAGTCTTAGTCACACCGGCTGCAACAGCTCAATTCTCTAGGCCTGCATAATCGGGAGCTCTTCCAAGGACTGCAGGGATAAAGCACTGCCTCCTTAAACTACGTGCTTTTAATTTAAAATCTCACTGAGTTGTCTGCTTCTGTTGGCATTAATAAACTTGTTTGAAAAGAAAAGAGGCTTACAGAACATGATAACACAAGCTTAGATGAACAGGTGGGTTTCATGAACATGGACAAAACACAGTGCAATTTAACACACAATCCCAGCTGACAGTGGGCGAGAGGCGGGTTCCACCCTGGACAGATCGCCAGTCTATCACAGGGCTGACACGTAGACAAACAGCCACACACACTCACAATCACTCCTACGGGCAGTCTAGAGTTGCCAGTCAACCTTAGCTGCATGTCTTTGGACTGTGGGAGGAAGACGGAGTACCCGCAGAGAACCCACGCAGGCACAGGGAGAACACTGGTTGGAGGATTTGTTGATTACTTGATTTTGTCTATATAAAAGTGTATATAATTTAATATGTATTATATAATATTTGATATAAAAGTGCTTCATATTTTTCCATAAGTCAAGTGGGGTGGGATAAAAAAAACTTAAAGAATTTGCCAAGGAAAATTTATCCTATAGCATAAATCAACATGAATCAGTGTGAACTTTGTGAATCCTCATCAAATAAAACTGGGAGAGTGATGGTTCTGTCCCACCTTGAACATTATGCTGTTCCAACAACTTGAGCAACTTAAACCTACTGATGTATTTGAATGGCTGAGATAAAGCTGCAGGTTCAGACCTTTGCTCTTTTTCACACTGTTCTACATTTTGCTTGTTTCAGTGAAATGTCCAGCAGCTATTAAATCACAGTGAGTCCACATCACGTTTACTGTTCAGGTAAGAATGAGCCCGGTCTGAAAATCTTTGCCATCATCCAAGAGTAGGAAGCAAAACTAGATCAGGTTTTACAGGTAAAATCCTCCTTTAATATCAAATTGTATAAACCCACTAACAGTCTAGTCACATTCATCACATTTCGCTTTGCCTGATCGTCACTATGAAAATCTCCAACCTGGCAGCTTGACAGATTAACACAAATCTGGCCAATAAATACACAGCTTATGAATTCACTGACAGTTGTTTGAGGGAATGGCTTAAAAACTGTGTGAATAAAGCAAAGCAGCATCAATATTTTGATCCAAAAAGCATCTGAAAACTGAAGATGTGCACCTGGAAAAACAGTGACGATTAGTTTGAGAAAATGTTTCGTTTACCTCTCAGTAATTTAATCATAAAACTGTACCTGAATAAGTTATGTTACCAGAGCTATTTTTCCTCCTGGACTCAGTTTGACATCCTCTTGTCGCTGTAACATGTGGACCTGTTCGTACTTGTCACTATGTCGTCTCCTCTTAAGTCACCAACACTGATCCCTGTTCAGTTGCTGAGCTTGACAAGCACTGTAAATGCCACGTACATATTGACATTTATAATGTTTCCAAACTGCAGCTTTGATAGAAAACATTTTATTCCAATGCGCTGCCAAAAAGAAGTGGAAAATGACCATCCTAAGACAATGACCTCAGACTCTTCCATATGCCACCAAATCACCTGCACATGTTTCACTAATTTCTCTGGTTGGGTGTCTAATTGAACAGACAGTGTAACAGTTTGACATCTGCAGACAACCTTGTCCAAGCACTGCACCTCAGAGGGGGTGGCAACCCATGTGCTCTGGATCATCTCAGTTAATTTTTGTAAACAAAATACAGACATGTGTTTTGGAACCACTTTTTAAAAGGTAAATATTAAACTAATTCTCAGGTTATTACACTTTATCTGACATGTAATGCTCATTATTTCAGAATTAATTAGACAAATATATTTGTCTTGTTTGCACAAATGTGCACAAACAACATATTAATGTACCAATATATTTTAACATCCTGGTCATATATGGTGCCAACTTTACAGAGGTGCAAACTTTGATTTAGCAACTTTGTTTTCTACACTTTTCTTGTTATACAACTTTCAGATGAGTCTCAAAGAGGTGTGCAGTGTCACAGACCCATAGTCGCACACACACACACACACACACACACACACACACACACACACCAACACTGCTGAAAAAAATCCCATCAGGCAGCATTCCAGCACCAAGACACTTTAGAGACTACAAATAAAATGGAACAAACTCTGGGATAACAGTGGTCCAGCAGTTCACTTTGACTCGAAGCCCTCCAGCTGGATAATCAGGGCAAGATCAGAGCCAGTGGTGACATCTTTAAATTCCTAGCTGCGTCCAAACAACACAGCAAACCCCGAAGGTAATCAGTGGACAGCAATATGAACCAACACATCCTTCCCTCTGAGAGGTTGGTTTGTCACTGTTGCTTCAGCACTCGTCTGAACACATCTGCATTTTCAGATTGTTGCATACTGTTAATAGCTTACAAACTGCTGTTGTAAACTTTTTTTAATGAGGCAGTTTTTTATTTAACAGTAGGTACCATGCTGAATTCCGCTGCGGTGAGACTGAAATGGAACTGAAACTTACAAAATGCAGCAATATGAACCAACACATCCTTCCCTCTGAGAGGTTGGTTTGTCACTGTTGCTTTACACAACCAGTGGTCACAAGTAACCTACTTCATACACTACCATCCATGTAAGACACAAAAGAGATACACAAAGCAGTAACAGTACAGCTTGCAGAACAAGAAATCAAACTCTCATGTAATCACTGTAATCACAAAGGAAATTAAGTTTACTAGAATTAAGTAGGAGTTGACACATCCTAAACGTTGGATGAAGTCCAGCTGCAGCCAAAGATGCTGTAAAAATCTAGAAGATGGCAAGATTTTCCAAGAAGACAGATGAGAAATGTGGCACCAAACTTTACATTTAGATTACTGGCAAACAGTATACAGGGTTTCATTAATCACTCTCATGCCTTCTTGCTAAAAAATCCACCTCATTTGAGCCTTTGTTTTTTAGCATTTCGTGCAATTATCAGTTCTAATTCAGTGTCTGAAAACACTATGAGAGAAGAAAAAGCCGCTGACAGGGGATGATTTTCTTGCACTCCTCCTCCTGAGGTGTCTGAAAGCAGAGACATCAGTTTCGATGTTGCACCAAAAGCTGGTTCTGTGGGAGCAGAGAGCGCAGTGCAAGGGCGGAAGTAAGGTTAAAGGTCATTTAAATTGTCACTCAGTTGCTTCTCTCTTCAGGTGATCGGATCACCCTAACAATGAGCCAGTTCAGATCGTCATTCAAGATAGCAAAACAAAAGACGCGTGATGGTGGAACTACAACAGGATGATGAAGCAAAACAGAAAAGTCCGTCGACATTTTAAAGAAATGTTAATATGAAGTGTTGAAACAACGTAGATGTCAGAAATGACTGCTGATAAATCTAAACAGCACGTTTCAAGTTCATTAAAGACAGAATAATGAAAAGTGGCTTTTATCAAAACGCGACTTGACACTGAATTAATGCTACAATCACGTGCACAATGCAAATACAACTGTGCTCAAACAAAGCCAAACCAGAGAGATGCTGCTCCGAGCATTCAAGGCAAAACAAAGCAACCCCCCTCGGAAATAACTTTGTTGTGTTTTGACAACAGCTCTTCAGCCAGACTCCAAGCAATAAAAGGTCATTTTCAGAGCGAGGAGAACCGTAGCGCTCACCTGTGTGCAGCTCCCCTGCTGGATAAGAGCGCAGAGCTCTGCCTGGAGGTGTCTGCTCTCCTCCGTACATTCACACGGGGCAGCAGCAGCGTTGATGCGGCTCGTTTCGTGGGCACCGTGGCTCCTCAATGTTTCCTCCTATGTTTCGACCCAGAAACACACCGATATGCCCTCCCACTCTCTCCACCGGCGCTTCACTGGTTCAGCCTCTCGCTGAGAGCGGGTCCGCCCTCTCACTGTAGGAGAATAAAAAGGTTATTTAAGCACGATTCGGTCTCCAGGTTGAGGATAAACCGCGTCACGATGGCCTGCGCTGCACCACAGCGCTCCGCCGGATCTGGTGGCTCTGAGTGCGCTGCAAAAACTCTATCCTGACAATAGTCACCGTTTTAAAGTCGCTACAGAGGTGTGCACAAGGGGGCACCGTCTGTCCCCTTCTTCTTTCAGCCTGATGACACGGCTCTGCCCTGATGAGACACTTCTCTACTTTATGTTTTCCCTAACATAGAAGTCCACCTCTCGTTACCCTAATTCCTCTCCTGGCTGACCCAGTTCCCATTCTGGTGACCTTGCCCTGTCTGAATCCAGTGTCCCTTTTTTCAGCCTAATGCTTTTCTAATCACTTCTTTCTTGTTGCTAAAAAGCCCCTGGGGTTGGTCCAAGTGTCCCACTGTCGGTCCCCTCTGCTCAGGTTCTGTTTTATATCCTCTCTCCTGCCACTTACTGTTCTTACTTTATATGAACATGTCCTGTGCCGACCCTGCCACTCCCACTGGTCCTGCAGTTACCTCTGTGCTCCCACCAGGGAGTGAGAAACTGGGAGGGGTCTCTGAGTCTGGACAACAGCTTTCATAGGGACGGTTTCTTCAGCACCTATGTGGATTATCACTGCACCACAGAGTCCATTCACAAGCATTATATTGGTGACATTTCAAATACAAATATCTCAAACTGAAGTTGTCTAAACAGCCAGATTCCACTACACAGAGAAGAGTAAAACTTTTTTGTTAACTTAATTTCATTAAATCATTTCTTTATTGACAATCTGGATGACATGACCCTTTAAAGCACTGTGAGGGAAAAAAGTTCACCTTCATAAATAACTCTGAAGCCCCCAAGACAGTAATACAGCATTACAACACAGGCCTGTGCACACACACTGTCTTGACATAACCCTTATCACAAAAACATTAAACACGCTGCTGGTGCAAAGCACAGGGTGGTATATTGCAATATTACCTCACAGCGGATAAAAATACAGCAGAAATTCTGATAAAGTCACATGAATTCTTTGTTAAGCAGCACACACATTTCCTCTGAGAGCATCACAACAGTGCTGTCACCCTCCTCTGCAAAAGGAAAAGCTCTGACGCACGCTAAAAACGACTTCCCCGCCATGAGGATGAGCACTATAAATAATGTGTCAACTATAGTGTAATTAAAAGTTGTGGCAACTACATCGCATCAGAAGACAACTGCGATACATGCAGGAACAGCATATACAGCACACACTGGAGCCACAGGGACGCGTTTAACTAGACTCTGTATTTGTGTGTGTTACAGAAGGCACCTGGGCTGCAGGACTGAGCCTCTGTCCCTCTGGAGTTCACTGATGGCATCTCTGAAATATTTGCTTTAATTATGGAGGCTAATGAATTTAAATTTGTGTTGCATCAAAGCTCTGAAATGGCAAAGCCAACCCTGGAGCCTGTAAATGTCTGACAGAGCTTCAGGCTCCGGAGGGACTTCTGGAACTTTTATATAAGACTAAGTTAATGAAAATAAATGGGCTTCTGAAATGCTAATGTTGGCTTTTGTTGCCTAAATCCTGCCACAGCCCATGGGACACACCGACCTGCAGTGGTCTGCTGGTTCATACATCAGAGTTTGTGTGTGCAGAGGGCCACACTTCTCCAGACGAAGTAAAGCAAATCTTTATTTTACCCTCAGATAAATGTTGTATATTTGGTTCTTCACCCAAAGACAAACTGCCCTGCAAAAACCAACCAATTGTGTTTGTGTGATCAATCGCATGGAACAAAGAAAAGCGTTCACTTCATTCTGTCAGAAAGCAGCTAAGCTTCACTCTGCTCCAATTTCTTACAATTTATTTCACACAAAACCTACACAAAGCCTGCGTTCTGCTCTCTGTCGACATCCATACTCGCCCCGTCCACCCACATGCAGCCAATCTGCTGGTTATTAATTAAACAAACCATATGCAAAGCACCCACATGCAGCCAATCTGCTGGTTATTAATTAAACAAACCATATGCAAAGCTCCATCGGCTTGTCAGGCCTGCCAGTCATCAGCACGGCGTGACAATGATCTGACCATCACCGGCATAATTGGCATTCAGAGAAGCCACTCTCCTCCTCAGTGTAGACTAAACAAACACACAAGCAGGATGCAACCTTCACTCCTGATCTCTCTGATCAATAACTCTGCAGCAGCACATCTGACGTGCAGTGACAGCTACAGGAGCCTGCTTTCATATCAAATACCACAATTACAAATTCAAATTGGGGCACTGCCATGAACGATTAGAAACTTCCTCTGAAGTTAAAGTCGATGTTTTTCTGGTGTAAAATTTAGGAGCTGCTACAGTTACCTCAGTCAGATCACATTTATGAATAAAACTTTTATTTGTTTTTTGTGACGAACTGTACAGAAGAGGATCAGGGCCACTGCATTAAAAATTTATTTGAATTCTGACTTTAAACTTAAAATTCTGACTTTCTTCTCTGTATTCTGAGTTTAAAGTCAGAATTCAAATACATTTTCTGCAGTGGCCCTGATCCTCTTCCATAGAAATGTAATTTAAAAAAATACAAATAAATTTAATCATGATTTTGGTGGAAAACTTATGTTTATCTGGAACAAATATAAATGAAACAAGGTTTTTTGTCACTAATAAACTTAATTTAAATTGGACACATTCATGTCAGTCTACACACCACATCAGCCACTGAGCACATATGGAACATGTTTACACTTTTGTTGCTGTTATTTCGTAGTTTTTAAATCTTCCGTGTGACTGTACAATGTAGTAAATCATACTGTTCCTGTGGCTGTTTGTTTACACGTGTATGCAGCCAGATGTGCGTCAACCTGAGCCCTTGACACTGGATCTGTGACGGATACATAGAAACGACAGCTGTCTTTTCTTCTACCACCTCCACTTCCCTCATGGCTCTGTATGAATGAGTGATAAAAACACAGAGCACTTTCCTGGAAATGTAGGTCGGCCACTGAACGAGACTCCACCTGGGACAGGGACTGAGATGAAAGCCGGCACACGTCATTGGAAATCTTTGCCGTGCTTTTGGATGTTTTCATCACAAAACATCAACCACCTGGTTCCACGTCAGGGTGAAAACAAAGCATCTGAGGAAGGTGGTGGCGCAGGGAGCAGGGTTTCTTCTTCTGCAAAATTTGAGGTATCAAAGCCAAACATGTGATTGTTGTGTCACTGTGTTCATAAACAACACAAGACAAACTCCTCAAGCTTGGAGTGTTTGTGACAAGTAAGACGTGGTGATTAAGATGCTTTTTCTCCTGCTGCGATCAGTTTCCCGAGAACCATGTCTGTATAAACTGTGCTTCCACAGGAACTTCTAATTGCCTATTGTGCGTGCTGCTTGGCTGTTCAGGAGATGTGCACTGACAAGCCACATCCTTAAAAAAATGACATGTAGTCCTGAGGTTCTGCAGGAAAATCTGTATCTGTCTCTCTTGTGATTTTTTTTCCCCTAAACATATCTCTACCTCCTCCCTGCCTCATCATGTCTCCTGTGTCAAGTGGAAGTGGACAGTGAGCGTGCATGGCTTGTTCTCACAGCCTATCCGTTAAAGCTGTGCGCTGTTCTCTTGTCCCTCAGATGAGTTTGTGAGTCTAGAGAAGAAAGACAAAATGGTGTTGGAGAAGTCGTCTGTTCTCTCTGTAACAGGATCAGAATGATACACACAAGTTTAAGTAAAGGGGATTATATAGGAAACATTGTCACATTTAATCAAAGTCCGTCCAATGGATCCTACATTTAACAGCTAATAAATCCATGTCAAAGCAAAAATTACAGATATGGTATGTGCAAAACACGCACGGACATGTTAATTATGATGTGATATGATGACTGGGGTGATGGTTTTCAGAAATTCTGCTTGTTAAATGGTGTATTTCACATATAGAAATATAGATTTTTAGATGTATGTTTAGGAATTACAGTTATATATTGCAAACACTATTCTTGAAAAAGTTGAATGTATTCAATTGTAGAATAAAAACATCTTTCAAAGACACAACAGACAGGTTTGACAAGCTGGCACAGGAAGCACATCCTCTTCAGGCTGCCTCCTCGTCCTCGCTTCCTAAAGCCAGAATAACAGCAAAAGAGAAACTGTACAACATGCAGAATTTGTCCCAGTTGTCAAACCCAAGAGTGAAAATGAAGCTCACCAGTTAAATTGGTATGATCAATGAACCTCTCAGTGGCTCCTCAGAAGGATCGGCTCCCTGTCCAGGCCTGCAGACTGATCACACCCTGCAGGCCTGGCACCAGGTTCAGCCGCCATTATGAGGACTTATACATTTTAACCATTTGGCTAATGTTCATATCAAAAGTGATTTGCAGGTGGGAGGTCCTAAAGGCAGGGCCTGACCTTGTGTGAGTTGCTGGTCCTCAAGCTGTGGCGGTGTGTGCATATTCAGACTTCATGAGAGACACTGCAGTTTACATCAGGCACCGTAAACACTTAAAAACACCTGAATGAATTAATCAACCATGAAAGAGGACTAATGCAATGAGATGTGTTGCTGAGGCCTGGCTGATGAATGTGGATATTACATAAGTATAGTAAGTGTTATTGTTATTCCCAGACTCATGATGTATGAAGAATAAAAGGTTATGTGAACTCAGTTTTGTAAACAGGACCAATAGTTGTTTTTCCAAGTTGTACTTTTGTTCATTTTGCACTATTTACATTACAACTTGTTCAAACTAATGACATGTCACCTGAAGTGACTCCTGTGTAATTTAAAATAAAAGCTGACTGTGGCACTGGTTTAAAGATTTCTGTAACTTGTTCAATAACAGCCCCTCTGGCTGTAAGACATAATTATGGGAAATGCTAAAGCTAAATGCTCGAGCATTTTCCTAGAATAGTCACTAAATGATATGATAAATAGGTAGCCTGAGTGAGAATGGATCACTATGCATAACTGCACAACTTATTATAGAGATGGCTGTAAATTCAGAGATTACGCTGTTACCACAAACTGAACTAATGCCATACTGCAGGTCCACTGAGATTTCAGCCTGAAGGTGATGTTTGTATTGTTCTCATGCAGTTGTTGTGTGCAGGGGGCAGCAAAATGTCTGCCAGTTCAGCCACTCTGCTACTTGGGCTCCATAGGCCCATAAATGCAGAAGAAGGTTCTTGAACTTGAAACATCTTTTTTTGTGTAACACGATGCATTTCTGAGTGAAACACTTCATGTGGGTGGAATAAAGTTACAAGAGCGATTTAGACCAAATCCTTTAGATTCGATTGGAATCACGTAGAAGAAAACAAGGCTTAGTGGAGGACTGTGCACGTCCACCCACATCTCCACAGTTTTATATGATGGAAAGGATAAGCAGTTGTGACAAATCAAGTTGTGACTGGATTTATTTATGTATCCAATAACA